TGCTGTGATGGATGTCCTCGCGCCTTCCATCTCACCTGCCTAGTGCCGCCCCTTACCTCCATACCCAGGTACAGTTAGTCATGTGACGCACAGGCCACTGACCCTACCAAACCTAGCGCTGACCTATGACTGCACTCATCATCTTTAGCTGTGTCAAGCTTAAGTCAGTGTTGATAATCTACATAGAACACCAGTAATTCAAATGAAATATAAAATAATTTTGTCCAAATTTTCAGTTCATTTTCAATGTCACAAATTTACTTGTCTGATTTATGTTCATCTCCAGGTTTAAATGAGATTTGAAATCCCAGTTTAGTGTGGTTTTTAGACACCAGTGGGTCTCAACCAGAGGGCCAATACCCACTAGGGGGCCTAGAAAACTTTCCCTGGAGCAGTAGGATGACTTACAATTAATCTGAGTTATATTATTAATTAAAAGTGTAATATTATTAATAAATCTTTAAAATTACAGATTAATATTATTGATTTGTCTGTAATTTTATGGATGATGTCAAATTATCCAAATGGATATATTTTTATTGATACAATAAACATTTTAATAAAATACAGTAATTCACTTAATAAATTCGCTAAACAAAAATGCATAAAATCATACATAAAAAATAAAAAGAATCCACTAAATAACTGTTATTTCTTGTTGGTTATGTTTGGTTGTTTAAAAAACAAGTAGTTTGTTATAATTATAAAATACAGGTGGAAATATCTTATATCTTGTGGTGGGGTTTGAAAATTGCTTTGGACAATGGGGAGCCTTCGAGTCAAAACAGTTGAGAATCACTGCTCTGTATTAATGTGTTTGTTTTCAGTGGTACCTGGCGCTGTCAGCTATGCCAAAGCAACAGAGCGAAAGACAGAACATACACCCCTTTGCAGGTAAAACATGACAAGAGTAACATTAAATCTACTGAAAACAACATTTCCCTACTAATTGAAGTTGCTTTACAGTCGATCACACATATGCGTACAATATGAACTGCCATGACTATAGGAGATTATTAGTAGTCATAGCAGTAGTAATGTCTCTGCTCTGATTTTTTTAGCCTGCAGTTCACCCTCCAGTGACAGAGACAAGCTCCAGCTCTGCTGTGGACTTCTCTTTCTTCTCGTCTTTGTCCTCCACTTCACTCTCCACAGTCTCAAGTGTTCAGCCCATGGCCCTCCAGGTAACACGTCCATGTGACTCAGTGAGAGACACAGTGGCATGTTCACACCAAGGATGAAAGTTATAACAATAAATGTAACTATAACATTTTAATAATCATTGGAATCACTTTCAGAAGGATTTTTATACAGCTGATGAACAATAAAAACCAGAGGTGGAAAGTAACGAACTACATTTACTCACGTTACTGTAATTGGGTCGCCGTGATTTTTGCCAAGTAAGACATGTTCCTGGATCAATATCTTTTGTTGAT